TGGACACGGAGTTGTACCGTGCGGCCAAAGCATCCCAGAGGGCAGCAGATGTGGTGAAGCCGCGAGCATGTTTGTGAACGGAGGGGCTGATGACTGCTAGGAGGCAGGCGCGGATCTGTGTGTCAACGATGGTCCAGGAGGTATACTCTGGATTAGGGACGGTTTTATCGTTTTTGGAGATAGTTAGCGCTGGGGCTGCTTCATGACCATCAATCCATCCAAGGAGGAGATTAGCTGAAAGAGCTGTCTGGACATTGAGAGACCATGCCAGATAATTGGTTTCGGTGAGTTTTTCTGGGATTAAGTTGTGGAGACTCCGAAGCAAAAGTTTTACTCCGGAGGGTAAGGACGCCAAAGGATCCGACGGGGCTGCCATGGTGGGTGGCGGTCGGAAAAAAAGAGAGGCTAGGTTTTTGAGAGCCTTAGCTCTGATACCATGATACAATTTGATAATAACTTGTCTTATTGAATATTGAGAGATATGGCCCTATATATAGGGAATACAAGAGTAATCAAAGTACAAGTAGGAAAGGAAAGAATAATCCTAGTAGGAAAGGAAAGAAGTATCCTAATTTAATTATACTTCCTAATAATATCAATACCGACAGATAAAACGTTGTTGCTAAAACTATGAACAATGCTGACTGATAAATTTTTGCTGCTAATACTCTAAATAATACTGACAGATAAATTTTTTGTTGCTAATACTATATGCAATACTGACACATAAAGTTTTGTCGCTAAAACTAAATGCAATACCGACATATAAATGTTTGTTGCTAAAACTATAACCAATAGCGACAGATATAACTCTTTCTGTGAGTCAAATAGTTTTTTCCTTCAAATAACTTTATCTGTCGGTAATATTCTCTTTTTTAGCGACAAATAAGGTTTCTGTCCCTAAGGATCTGTCAGTAATGCCTTCTTTTTTTGTAGTGCGAAAAAAGAAAGAAGAAATATTTTAAGGAACAGAATAGCCTAATGTACTCTACCCTCCATAACATAATATCGTCATTTGTGTATAAACATATACTATTATAAAAATATACTATAGTATTTGTATTGTACATTTCACAATGAATTTAGGGATCTTAAATTTATATCATAATTCAATTTCTTTTCCATATTTTGTGGTCAATGTTTACATAAATTTACCACAAAATTAAATACGGAGTACAATTAAATTTGTAAGAAAGATATGAGACAATTAGTGTGATATAGACATATAGTGAGATTAATGTAGTTGCATTATATCCAAAACTTAGCTTATTACAAGAAATTTTATTTATGCAATGTAATCAAATAATAAATTGTAATCGACTCAATAATACTTAAAAATGTAGTGATAAATTGAATAATATGAAGTACACATCGGCTAGAGAAGAGCCTAAAGGGCATTACAGTTTATTTATTTATTGGAAAAATAAAAATAAAGTAAATAATAATAATAATAATAATAATAATAATAAATTAATAAATAAATAGAGAATACAATTTCATCCATTATTTTTTTTTGTCTATCTTCATGCGTCGGATCAACATTTGGGCATATCATTTGGAGATGGTAACATTATTTGGTCGGACCGCTTCCCATCTTTAACTATGAATGCCATTTCCATTCCCCAGCTTGCATGCCGTTCAAAATGACAATGCATAAACCACACTCCTGTTTCATGAACAAATTCAAACAAAATAATTACTTTATCACACAATATATATTAAGTAACGAGACAATTAATTCGAGAAAGAGAAAATATGTTATACGTACCAGGATTATTTGCTACAAATCTGATGGCAGTCCACCCATTCCTCGGAACAGCAATGGTGTTCATGAGAGGGGGATCAACCAGATTATAGTTCTGGGGATCCTTGTCCTTGTCGAAATTCCCGAAACCCCAACCAACAACGTAAAAGCTGTACCCATGCAAATGCATGGGGTGGTCTATTCCAGACAACAAACTTGTCCCTTGGAAAACAAGTTCCACAACCGTCCCATACTCCACCACCCTCACCTCCGTCCCCCGGTCAGGCACTCGTAGCGTGACCGGAAGGGAGGCGTTGGTGAAGTCGAAACTCAGGGGCGGAAAATCGGGGAACTCTTCCCCGTAGACTCCTTTGATGTTCTTGTAGTAGGCCTGAAGGATGTCGATCTTAGGGAGATCAAAGCTTATGTTGTTGACACTAGCCGCGAACCGGGTGACACCGGGCCCAGAGCACCGCGCGGTGTTGTTGTCCGGACAAGGGAACGTGTTGATCGAAACGGTGTACAACAGATTCGTTGTCACGTTTTTCGGGACGTTAATGGGGTGGTTGTCGTCCCCCAAGCTTCTGAGCTTTCCCGTGAAGGAAACCGACGAGTTGGTGTCGTTGAAGACGGGGAGATTGGGCATGACCGGTGACGGAGAGGGGGTGTAGTTTCCGGTGTACCGGAGGACGGCGGTGGTGGTGGTGCGGTCGAATTGGGCGCCGGGGGCACTGCTGTACGCCTTGGCGGCCATGTAGTAATGGTTCTGAGGCTGGTTGGCTTCCACCAGGAAGTCGATTGTCTGGCCCGGGGATATTGCGATGTAGTCGCTCTTGAACGGCTTTGTGTAGGCGCCGTCGGATCCAACCACCGTGACCTGGTGGTTGGCGATGGAGAAGAAGAGGATGTTGTTCATCACTGAGTTCACCATTCGGAGAAGATATGTTTTTCCCAAGTCTACGGTTAACTTGAACGTGTCTGTTTTACAAACAACAATTATTACATGCATGCATGGAGTATTAAGGAACCTAATAATTTGGGATTAAAAATACTCCATCCGTCCCTAAATAAACTTCACTTTTTGACTTTTTGAGGATTTAAGGGAGGGATACTTTGTGTTGACTTTCCAAAAATACCCTTGATGTGATGTGTAAAAGTAAGATGTGATATGTAGATTATTAGTAAAAAGGTATTATGTGATAGGTAGGGTATGAAAAAGTAAGGGGTAAAAGGAGTTTTTTTAAGGGAAAAGAGAAGTTTATTTAGGAACAAAGAAAAAACGAAAGAGGAAGTTTATTTAGAGACGGAAGGAGTATATTTTAATGAAAATATTTATTTAATGAATAATACCGTTTTGGGAGCATGGATATGAATCCCCGGGGTGGCCGTTGATAAGAAAAGCATCGGAGACGTTTGGATCACCGCCGCTAGAAAGAAACTGGTTGAGAACTTGTTGGATGTCACTCTTCCACCACTCTCCTATACATACATTTTGATCATATGTATATATATAGTTAGACATATTTATTACTAACTAAATAAAGTAGTGCATATATACTCCGTATATGATTAATTAAGAAATACCTAGTATGATGGGGACTTCAGCGGAGGGTTTAGGGAAAGGGTATTGGGTATGATTATTAGGAGTAGCAGTAGGGGTAGGGTAGACAATAAGGGCACCGTGAACAGTGGCACGAGACCAGTCGCTGTGAGCGTGCCACCACAGAGTGCCTTCCTCGTCTGAAAGTATTATCCTTTGAGTGAATTTAGTTCCTGGTCTGATAGGGCATTGGGTTATCAACTCCGGACCGTCCGACCACGGATTCCTTGGCTGTTTCACTCCATGCCTGCGATTCATATATATATATTAGAAGAAAGAAAGAGATCGGTCAACTTGCCTGCCTGTGAAACATACAGCTGCATGCATGCATGCTTATTACATGTAAACAAGTTTGGTTCAAGGGTTTTTGAAAGACCAAAAATCAACCAATATATACCAAAGGGAAAAACGTGTTTGAATTGTTTAGGAAAGAAATGAAAATGAAACGTAGGTTGAAAAGAAAATGAGGAGACGAAAAGTACTACGGAGTAATAAGAAAATAATAGAAAAACCAAAGAAAAGAGAAATTGTTGTAAATTATTAATAAATTTATACCAATGAATGGTTATGTTTTGGCTTCCTTTATTGTAGACATTAACCATGAGGGTGTCTCCTTTGTTGGCATAAAGAACAGGTCCTGGGAATTGCCCATTCACCGTCAAGATCTTCTTACTGCTGCAAAGCTTCGTGTATGAAGCTTCTTCAACCTGAAGAGTGAAGATCATAATACACATATATACCCATGCCCTTTAACTAGCAAAATATATACTCCCTCCGTTTCTTAAAACGGTTCTTGTTTTGACTTTGGGGCAAAATAAGGAAAGTATAATTTTAGTTGACTTTCCAATTTTGCCCCTGATAGTAAAAGTAAGATGTGATAGTTTAATTATTAGTGAAAAAATATGATGTGATAGGTAGGGTATGAAAAAATATGGGTAAAAGTAGTTTTTTAATAGAAAAAGGAAGTGTTTTAAGGAAAACAAAAAAATGAAATAACACTATACTCGAAAAGTCAAATTACAAAAATAAATTTATAAAAATTCAAAATAAGATCGACTTTTTTTTGGCGAAGAGAGTAGTAATTATAATCGGGGAAGGTTCCCATGACATTGGGAACTAATGTCATGGGATGACCCAGGGGCGCTCCGGTGCCCCGTTCGTAAAATTGACAGTTCCTACCCCCCCTAACCTCCCCGGTAAACCCCCCCACCCCGCCCCGACCCGAACACCCCCCCACCCCCTCCAATTACACCCCACAAGTCGATTTTGACTTTGGAGTCAAAATTTGACTACAAAGTCAAAATCGACTTGTGGGGTGCAATTGAAGGGGGTAGGGGGTGTGTTCGGGTCGGGGCGAGGTGGGGGGGTTTACCGGGGGGTTAGGTGGGGGTAGGAACTGTCAATTTTACGAACGGGGCATCAGAGCGGTCCCGAGTCATCCCATGACATTGCCGGGCAATGTCATGGGAACCTTGCCCATTATAATCATATCAAAGCTAGGATGCAAAACAATTAGCTATTAGTTTGCTTACAATGAAATTGTGTCGATGAACAAGAGACGCTTTTGTAGCTGAAAAGCCACAAAGGAGCACGAGCTGGAGGATAATGAACAAAACCTTTGTAGTAATAATCGACGACGACGGCCACATTTTTTTTTTTGATTAATTAATTAATGTAACAATTTAGCCTGTCTGCTACTATAGGAAATTCGTGCAAATCAAATATAAATAATTGAAAAACAATAATGGCAATTAATTTGGTGTTGATGAATATATAATATAATTGGATGAACATGTATGTGTCCTGATGAGCTAAGGGTGCCTCTCTATTTATATAGAGGCAAAATAATTAAGAATTATGGCATGCCATGCATGCATGAAGAACGAAGAGGATTTGAGTTGAAATGGTCGGGAAGAACTATGTTGACATGCATGTTTAAATTTGATCACGCGCCTATTATTTGTTTACGTGTTTTTTGAATTCTTGGGTTAATCTCCTGACTTTTCATTGGGTTATTAGTTTAATCTAATTTAATTTAAAAGTCAGAGGTTGATCGTCCAGAAGGGTTAGAAGTTTTAGAGTTGACATAGTCCCTCTATCGGTAAAAACATGGAAAATTTTGATTTTCGGAAGATTTATAAAAAAAAGTGTATTTTGGTGTTGAGTTTTCAAAAATATCTTTATGAGTAAAATTAAGATTTAATAGGTAGATTAATAGTGAATTGATGTGATGTGATAGGTAATTTAAGAATTAGTAAGAATAAAAGTGACTTTTTAATATAAATGAGAAAAATTTTATATAAATTTTGTTCGAATGAAAAGTTTAATTTGTTCATGTGAAAGGTTATTTTCATAAGTTGAATTATATATTATGCACACATTGAAAATTTATCCTCTATACAACTAGAATTAAGACTTCGATCGTGCATATATTCCACACACCGACTGGCCTGGGATGCTCATTCAACTTTAATTTTATTTGAGAAATTCAAATTTGACTTTAAACAATATAACCAGCTAGCTGCTAGCTGCATTATATTTTTAATAAATTAAATTGAAATTCATTCGATTATTGTGGCAAATTAGGATAATAGTTAGAGGACGTGATTGAAAGGAAAATAATATGTTGGGTAATTTACTAAAATATGACTAAAACATAATGACTTTCTCAAAATAGAACCATATATTTTTATTTCCCAATGTAAGACCATTGGTCATTATTTATTAGTCATTATTCAACTAAATGTCAAATATCACTTGGACATTATTCTTCTCACTAGTCATTATTAAGTCCTATTAAGAAAATAAAAAAGTTTAAATCCTACATTGGAAAATAACTTATGTTTTAGTTTTATTCAATGCAAATTTCACTAGTATGTTTCTGAAATGAAAAAAAAATGATTGGAACAGTGTGCCAAATAAGATTGTATTTGTAATCTTTCTAGCTTCTGATCTTTTTTAATTTATCACCAATAGTCAATTGGAGTATATTTGTAAAATTTTAATGGAGAAAGTTTTATCTTTCCTGCACTGGTCAAGGTTAGCTTTTGCAATTTTTAAGTTTTTTTTTGTTTGAATTCAAGGTACCAATTATTAACAAAAATGTGCAAAAGAAAAAAAACCAAACCAAAACAAAAATTTTAAAAAATTGAACCCAAAAAATATTCAGTACTATAGAAGTGTGCTATTTTTTTGTACACCAACATTAAATGGTTTTTTTTAATGAAATTAAAAAATTTATTATGAACCCCGGAGTAGGTAATATTAATATATCTGTTACAATTTTCGTACGGATTACAACGGACGGGGAAGATGAACGGACCCGAAAAATAAAAAATAAATAAATTTCTGAATTTATAACTTATTCAGAATATTACAAAATAAATAAAGTTGAAGATAAATTTCTATATCTTCAAACAACCTTGTTGTATGAGGACATTAAGCACTGGACAGCGAGGACATTATGCACTGGACAGCAAGGACACTATGCACTGGGCTGAAGTTGAAAGTCTGGGACGAAGATACTATCTGTGAATATCAATTTTCATGCTAGTACATCATTTTAAGCCCTTTTCCTTTTTTTTTCTTTTTTTCTCTTTTTTGTTCAAAATCCTTATCTTATTAAAAACAAACACTTTTAAAAATTAGTATTATGATATAGACAAAGCATATATTTGAACGTGTTTGTAGGTACACAGAGAATAATGAAACATTATTTTACAACGAATTTTTTGCGCCATTTACCTTTGAGCTTTTCAAAAACTACATGGATTTCCCTTGATCTTTAATAAGTGTACAGATTCCTCTTGAACTTTAAGAATATTGCACCAATGGTCCCTCTATGTTAGATTTGAGAATGTGTTAGTCACACACTCATTCAGTGCAAGTATGAATTCATCTAAAGTTATATATCACAGGTGAGTTCTTTAATACATCCTTCCCAAACATTATTTTTCTATATTTTTAATCTCTTTAAGTCCTAGATAATTATTCTCGATTTAATCGTCGGTAACTGAATTTGCAGGTCGGACGTCAGTCCATAAAGCTCTTCATCAATCGATCAACATCTTCATCAATCCATGACATCTTCATTAAACTCCAACACGTATATTGATGAGCGTGTGATTAACGCACTCCCAAATCTGGCATAGAGGGACCGTTGGTGCAACAATTTTAGAAGTTCAGGGACAATTTTTAAAGTTTGGGGTGAACCTTGCAATTTTTAAAAAGCTCAGGGGTAAATGACGCAAAAACTCATTTTACAAGTCATAAAAAGATGTTTTTTAAAATCAAATGAATTATATTGTATGTTCGTTGGTACACAACATATTTGAACGTATAATAGCATTCCAACATTACTCTGTACAAATAGGTCAAGAGCTTATTTGTAGGAACACAAAGCATATTTGAACGTATAATAGCTCTGCCAATTACCACAAAACTGAAATTACATGATCAAAAAGGGGTATTTCAAGAAAGCAAATCAAGACCTCATTTTAAAATAAATATAAGTTTTAGCTCCTTTTCAACTTGAAATGAAACAGAAGAAAATCCATCTTTTCTCGCATCTCATTCTGAATCCGAGTCACTTGAGCTCGACTCTGAGCTGGAGCTTGTACTTGCATCTGACTTGACAGATTCTTCGTTCTTGTCTTTGACATCTGATGAACTTGAACCATCTGATTGACCAAAATCTGCTTTCTGATCTGGTTCAAGCAGTATTAGGGGTGATTCCTGTATTTTTTAATAAGAAGAAAGAATATTTATTTTGGCCATGCCCAATGACAAATGAGATGCTTTAATATGTTTATATCATGGTATGCAAAGATTGGGGTCATTGGTTTGACCGGATGACCTTGGTAACTCTTGAAGAGTGTCCAACATTGACAAAATATAAGTTCATCCTTTTGCCTAATTGAACTTAGAGCATTACACACACACACACAAACACACACATGTGTTATATATTCTCAATGTGGGACGCTCTTTAACACTAAGGGACACTTGTGGCTCTAGTGAAACTGTGAATAGGGCTTTAAATTTTTTTAGATACAGCCCGAACTGCACAAATTGCACCGCACCTTACATGTCAAGAATATATACAAACTGCAGTTTACATAAAAACGAAAATTGGACCGCACCATCAAAGCAGTTCGAGAATTTGCATTTCCCAAACTGAACTGAACCACCATACCATAGTTGAAGTTGTGTGTATGTGTGTGCGAGTCTTTCATTTCTATTTTTTTTAAGAGTAAAAGCAGCAAGAAAAAATTACTCAATGCAATTTGACTAACCTGCCCTTCTTTGTGATCCTCTGATGTGAGACTATTTGTGGATGACGATGTACCTGACAATGTGAATTTTTCATCAAATTGATATGTGAGTTTTACTTCCATACAAAATCCATGTCCAACAGAAACTAGCTTCACATCTTCTTGATAAAGGGTTAACAAGTCAATGTTACCATTGTTTTCAGACGAATCAACGCATATATCTTCAGATGACCTGGAGACAGATTCCATCGCAGCACCATGGCAAGCCTTGATATCGGTATTCGGGTCAAACACAGAATACATATTTTGATTTACTGGTTGTGAGTTTGGTGAGGTGCCTAACATCTCTTCACTAATCAGAATAGAGTTATTGATTTCCAGACTCCTTTCAACAGATCCTCTCTCTGCAAATGAATTAGGGGATGAAGAAATGTGATTCTGAAGTGATATGGGGCTAGAGTTGTGTGTAGCTTCCTTATGTGGGTTGACATCAGACCTTTCTAATAAAGGCTCCTTAGAAATCACTTCTTTAGTGTGTTCACTTATGTCTTGCAAATCTGATAGCATTTTTGAGTTATGGCTATGTATGAAAAATGCTGAGCTTGAATTAGTTTCTCTGGCACTGAAGTCCAACATATCCGCAACATTTTCATTGATCAAACTTGGGTTCTCACTATGATGAGTTTTTTTGTTGTCATGTTTAAATTCAATCCCAGCACCAAAATTGTCTTTTTTACCATTTCTACCCCCCTCCAATTGTTCCACTTCAGAAAAATTGCTTGCAAATTCAACACGATCATATACATTTTCTGCCCTAGACATCAGATCTGGATCCTGAGAGATAAATTGATCAATAATTATGTTTTGATCTTCTAGATTCCTTTCATTAGGGTTGTGGCCTTCCAGAGGACTAAATAAACCTGCTGATTCGATTTCGGGAATAAAGCTTACTTTGTTGTCACTAAGATCTATCAATTGTCTTTGAAAAGATGTGTGACTTTCACCTTCCGGTCCCATCCTTTGCGAAACAAAGAAAGGTCTCAAGCTTCTATCGTGTTCATTTTGCCTAAATAATGATGGTTGTACCTTAAAACTTTGATGCCTTGCGAACAACAGCTCTTTAGGTTGAAATCCCATGAACTCCTTTTCGTAACAACCTTCCATAAGATCAGCTTTCTCTTCGCCTGCATCGTAAGAAACGTCAAATGGGTTTCTCCTAGGATGTAAAACAGATGGAGCAGACCCAGGAATTGGTGGTAAACTATTGCGGTCATTTTGATCGTCATCATGAATGTCAAAAGGATTTTTTCTAGCAGTTGAAATGGGAGCAACATTGAAGGGAAGATCAACAACACCTTCTAGGTCTATCAAATTCCTTTTGATCGGTGTTGTTCCCATATTCTTTTGAGCTATTCTTCTCGCAATAAGCCTCTCCAGCCTTTGGTTCCTTTCAAGCTCAGAGCTTCCCAA